AAAAAAAAAAAAAAAAAGAAGAAGACATATATACAGGTTAGTGCCTAAGTAGAGTGTCAAAGTATAGAACAGTTAGTAATTGTATAATCTGATGCTCCTTTTTTTAAATCTCTCAAATGAAGCAAACAGTATCTTTTCATGCGAATAATGACTATAAAAGGGTTAGAGAATTGGCCAAAGAAGGTTTGATAACAGCCTAGTCCTTTATTCCCTCCCTCACATCTCAGTAATGATTTGTTGATCCACAGAATGAGTAAAACAAGACTTAATTTTTTGGGTTTTTTTGTTGTTGTTTGTTTTAGACGAATTCTCACTCTGTTGCCCAGGCTGGAGTGCAGTGGCAGGATCTCGGCTCACTGCAGTCTCTGCCTCCCAGGTTCAAGCAATTCTCCTGCCTCAGCCTCCCTAGTAGCTGGGACTACAGGCACATGCTACCATGCCTGGCTACTATTTGTGGCTGTAGTAAAGACAGGGTTTCACCATGTTAGCCAGGATGGTCTCCACCTCATGATCTGCCCACTTCGGCCTCCCAAAGTGCTGGGATTACAGGCATGGGCCCCTGAGCCTGGCCGGGTTTTTTTTCCCCCTTGAGACAGAGTTTTTTTGCTTTTGTTGCCCAGCCTGGAGTGCAGTGGCACAATCTCAGCTGACCACAATTTTCACCTCCCATGTTCAAGCGATTCTCCTGCCTCAGTCTCATGAGTAGCTGGGATTACAGGGATGTGCCACCACACCCAGCTAATTTTCTATTTTAAGTAGAGATGGGGTTTCTCCATGTTGGTCAGGCTGGTCTTGAACTCCCAACCTCAGGTGATCTGCCCACCTTGGCCTCCCAAAATACTGGGATTATAGGTGTGAGCCACCACGCCAGGCCTTAATTTGGCTTTTATTTGTTTATGTAGTGTGGAATGTTATGACCCATTATAAACTTAAGAATGTTTTTTCCTTAGTGTGAATATCACTGACCAGACCAGATTCATAACTATAATGTTAGAATCTTCAAAATCAAGATTAGCTTTAAAAAGTTTATTTTAGGAGTCTCCTCTCTCCCCACCCCCACATTTATTACTGTGGCAAAGACATGTTTTTGTTAAATTGTATAATGAAGCATTTTACCCTATATGCAAGAATATCTTGACAAGTATAACATACTGTATCATTGCAGGGTATTGAATGAACTCTGAAGAAATGTCTGAAAACTTGGTTCTCTTTCCCCATTATTAACATCATCTGACCTTGAATAGAGGATGTGATTACTTGATATCTTGACAGCCAGACAGCCTTTTGTTGAATTTCTTCTTTGTTCAGGTTTTTTTTCTTTTTGTCATCTTTATGATTTATAAGAAATACAAAGTGTGATTTGAGAGGAAAAAAATCTACTTGAAGATTTTGCTAATAACATTTGGTAACAGCTCTTTGCTGAAAAAAATCTTTGGAAGAAAAAACTGGCCTCCCTACAGAGATTTCATGATTGGTTAGGTTTAACTGAATGCCAAAGGACTGAATCATGTTTTAAGGAGGGATCTTTGAATAGATGGGTTTGAATCCCATTCTATTTTCTGTTTGTATGTTTGATTCCCTCATGGTAATTTAACTTTGATTTGTAAAAATATCTGGTTTATGAAGCTAGAACAAGTTATTAAGAATATAGACAGTATTCATATAGTTATGGTATTGATGCATACTACAAGATGAGTGAACCAGAAGGTACTGTTGCATAAACAGTTTTTTAATTTTGGTAAAAGAGTGACTTTAACAAATCTATTTTTCCCCCCCTAGATTTACCAACAGCATGAATCAAGAAAAGTTAGCCAAACTTCAGGCTCAGGTCCGGATAGGGGGCAAGGTGAGTGTGGCATAAGAAAAATTGATAGGAGAATGTATGATTACCAGATAGTGTTATTATTTCAGATTTGTGGTCATTGAAAATCTAAAATCTTTTCGATAATCAAGATCAAACCACATTCCAATTTGAAAATAACTTGTCTAGATCTAAAATAGGTAACTAGAACACTGTCTCTCTGAAAATGCAATGGAAATAGCCACATTTGTTTGAATCCTAACTCTTAACATCTGCTAGTTGTATGATGTGAACAAGTTATCCAACCTTGTTAAGCTTCCACTTTCTTATCTGCAAAATAGAAATAATCCTACATAAGGTGTTTAAAGATTAGGGTAATATTTTTAAACCACCTAACGTGGTGTCTGGCACAGAGTAGATGCTTAATAGATGATAGCTATTATTATAGTTAGACTCACCTGCAGGGCATACCAGATATTACGGTTATTGCCTCTTAACTGGATATACCTACTTGTACAGAGGTTTAGCTGCAGACGCTTAAGTTGATTATATATTTTTTTCATTGCCAGGTTTTCTTCACAAATTCTTACCTATTCTTCCATGTTGGTGAATATGAATATGAGCTTTCTAATTCCGTGTATTTTTTAAAGCCTAAGGAAGAGCTAGTTGTGAACACCAAAGGCTTTGATTCCCTTCAGGTGTGGCTCCAGGCTCAAAGAGAATATTCTACCCATGTCTTGCCCAATACAATCTTTGCAAAAATGAAAGAAAGAACAGTTTTTACCTCAGACCTGAGGAAGTGGTAGGTAGGACACTACTTTCTGTAGCAAGTCCCACTGTGTCTTTTACAATGATGATAACCACAGCTCCTGGGGATGAGCACAAGGGGAAGGAAGGGAAGAAGAGCCAGTACTTTCTCATTCTTCCATAGTGATATAGTTATATGAGTCTGGAGTTAGATTAACACCCATGTAACCACAGTAGTCTCCTTGTAGCATCAAGTGTGATGCAATGTACCAATGCAAAAACTAGGGATAGTCAAGAACCATAGAATATACCTAGAAGAGCTTGATGTAGCACATCATCATTACGTATTTTAAAACAGTGGTTGCTACATTCAATTTAGCTATTGTATATTGAGCACGTACTGTGTGCCAGGCATATAGAAGATAAACGAGATCACAGCTCTGTTTGGAAGAGAGACATGCTCACAATTGTAATGCAGAAGAGTGAGTGTTATAATGAAATACAAGCTGCTCTTGCCTCTAGGAGACAAGGAAGTTATCACTGAGATCTTACTTAAAAAGGATAAACAAGAATTTATCACTAGGCAGAAAGCCAGTAGCCAGGTGTGGTGGCTTACGCCTGTAATCCCAGCACTTTGGGAGGCTGAGACAGGTGGATCACTTGAGGTCAGGAGTTGAAGACTGGCCTAGCCAACATGGTGAAACCCCGTCTCCACTAAAAGTACAAAAATTAGCCTGGTGTGGTGGCCCACAACTGTAGTCCAAGCTACTTGGGAGACTGAGGCAGGAGAATCACTTGAACCTGGGAAATGGAAGTTGTAGTGAGCCGAGATCATGCCACTGCACTCCAGCCTGGGCAACAGAGCAAGACTCTGTCTCAAAAAAACAAAACACAAAAGCCCAGCGCAGTGGCTCATGCCTATAATCCCAGCACTTTGGGAGGTCGAGGCAGGTAGATCATGAGGTCAGGAGTTCGAGACCAACCTAGACAACATGGTAAAACCGCGTCTCAACTACAAATACAAAAATAAGCTGGGTGTGGTAACATGCATCTGTAGTGCCAGCTACTCGCGTGGCTGAAGCAGGAGAATCACTTGAATCTGGGAGGCAGAGGTTGCGGTAAGCTGAGATCGCGCCACTGCACTCCAGCCTGGGTGACAGAACAAGATTCTGTCTCAAACAAAACAAAGTGGAGTGAAACAGGTTGTCATTTCTACACTTGCAAAGGCACATATGGTGCTGAGATAACACAGTACTTAATGGAATGGCTTGCTTTAATTTGGTACAGCT